CGCCGAGCCTTCCTTTCCATCCCATTTGGCAGCCTGGGAACGGTGGCGGTCAGAGGCAAAGCATACGAGGGGTGGTGGAACCACATGTCACGGCTACTGCCGGCTCGACCCCACGATAGCCTCCGGAGGCTGACTTTGAGGCACAATCATCGGACGACGTCGGCGAGTTGAGTCGCGCTCGCGGTAGCCAGATGACCTCTCATACTAGTATCATCGGCCATGGCCGCAGGAAGCGCGGGGGAGGGCGCTGGGAGCAACACGGAGCTCCGTTGGACGTTTTCAAGATTAGCGTGTCAGAGTGAAATGGAACTAGCCACCGTGCGCATGGAGAAATCATTATTACTGGTCGGGAGATGGTGAGGAAAGAGCTCAGCGGGGGCGGGTCATGGCTGCAGAGGAGCACTCGCACCCAGTGGAACATGTTACTTACCGTACAGACACACGCACACCACGAACAAGTACGGCTTTTACTCTACCTCGAGGAACTAGGATCAATCGCAATCACACTTTCGAGCTCGCCTTGGCGACGCGCCCCTTGCGGCTCACCAGGGAGAACATCGACCTCCTCTGCTGCTGTTGCGGTTCCTTCTTCTGGGTTTGCAACTCCGATAGCTGCTTCTCATGCGAATCCAACCTCTGTTGCTGCTGCTGCTGATTCGCTGCTAGCTCAGCTGCCAAATCCTGCCTCTGTTGCTGCTGCTGCTGATTCGCTGCTAGCTCAGCTGCCAAATCCTGCCTCTGTTGCTGCTGCTGCTGATTTGCTGCTAGCTCAGCTGCCAAATCCTGCCTCTGTTGCTGCTGCTGCTGATTCGCCGCTACAAGAAGCTCAGCCGCCACCGATGCCACGGCTGCCTTGGCCGCCGCCGCCGCCGCCGCCGCCGCCACCTCCACCGCCCCTGCCACCGACATCACGGCGTGTGCCTCCTGATGCCCCCCGCTCGAAGCACCTGCCGATGGCAGGGTCGCTGTGGCGGTAGGTGCGGCGGCGACGGCGGTAGGTCCAGAAAAGAAACTCCAGGGCCACGTGGCGGTGACAGCGGCGGCGGCGGTGGTGGGGGCGGCGGGGTTGGGTGCGGCGGCGGCGGCAGCGGCGACCGGGCGCAGCTCCCCCGCCTCACGCTGGTACCGTGGGCTGGTCGGTCCCGCAGCCGACGACGACAGCTCGAGCGCTGTTGATTATGTGCGGTCATGACATGCGGAACGTAGAGAGACTAGAGTAAGATAAGGTAAGGTAAACTTCTCCACACACACGAGGTGGTGGGGCAAGGGGGGGCAACCCTCGCGTCTCCACGTCTAACGACAGGAGCCCCACGGCATTTAAAGTGCAAGGCCCGGTGCGCGTGGGTGAGCGGTGTGTGTGTGTGTGTGTGTGTGTGTGTGTGTGTGTGTGTGTGTGTGTGTGTGTGTGTGTGTGTGTGTGTGTGTGTGTGTGTGTGTGTGTGTGTGTGTGTGTGTGTGTCACGTCACTGCATCCTCTGCCGGTTCCTCCCGTCGCCTCTTCTTTGTTCGAATGTTTTTCAATCCATCCTTCACGAAAGCCTCCCATGTAGCTAGCGTTCTTTGCGAATGTCTCGAGATGGCCAGCAGGCGCTGTCTGTTCGCGGCCTGTGCGGGCCGCTCGTCCTCCTCGCCCTTCTTTCGTCCTCCCGTCCCTCCCCTCCACCATGGCCTCCTCGGCACTTCTTTCTCCATCCGCCTTGCCCTGCCTTTTCGTATTGTGCCGTTCGCCCTCCATTCGGTGACCTCCATGGCTGTCCGGCTCCTTTTGGGTGGCGCTCTCGATACCGTTGCGTCAACCTCGACGTCGCTGTCGCCCTCCCCGTCCCCGCCGTCGCCCGTGCCTCGGTTCGCGTCATTGGTAGCGTTTCCGTTGCCTCCTCGTGCTCCGCCGTCGCTTTCTCTGCTCGGGCCGTTCGCGATTTCGCTCTTCCTGCGTGTCGCCCCTCCGTCTCCCCCCCTGCCTTCGTCGTCATCGTCGCTGTCGCGAAAGCCCTCCGGCCCCTCGATTCCCTCGTCTATCCCCCCCGCTGCGTCGTCCCAGTTTATATCCTCATCCTCTGTGCGCGTTTTCGTTCCCTCCCCTTCTCCATCGTTGTCGCCTCCGTCGACTGCGGCGCTGTCTCTGCCCTCGCCTCCGTCCTCCTCGTCTCGCCTACCGTCGTCCCGTGTCTCTCCGTCCTCGCCATCGTCTCGGCCGTTGTCTACCTGTTCATCGTGTCCCTTGTTGCTGGTGGCATCGCCGTTGGCTTCCTCTCTCCCCCTTTCCTCCCTGCCCCTCTCGCTGTCTGGTGCTAATGGACCCCCTTCCTCTCCCTCGCCACCGTCACCGTCACCATCCCCGTCGCTACCGCCCTCCATGCCCGCCGCCCTTTGTTTCACACTCGTCTCTGCCATGTCCGCCGTCGCCGCCGTCCTGTCTGCTGCGCTCTGTGCTCCGTGGTACAGTCGCTTATTGTTGTTCAGGATTAGCTCACGCACCAGGACAGCCTCCTGCTCGTTATTTTGGCTTGCCGATATGCATCCAAAGTTCCACGCTAGCTCCTCCTTCGTCACGTCTATCTTTTTGCAGTATCTCGCGAATGCCGTCCGCGCTTGCTGGGGTGTTATTGCGTTCGGATCCGCCCTGGTCCCCGCCCTGTATCCCATCTCCTTGCGGTGGCTCTTGTATGAGTCCCCATATGACCATGTGATTTCTTGGCCTTCCTTGACTCCCCTCTCTGCAAACAGGACCATCACCTGCGCAGCTGCCTTGCCTAATTGTATCTCCTCGTAGCGTACGAAGTGCGTCGCCCTCGTGCCTCGTTTCGGCTCATTCGATGCTGCAGGCCAGTCGAAGTTACACCGCGCCGCGACGCTGTCAAAGTCGTCCCCGCTCTCGTCGTCACTTCCATCCAGCTGCGTCCCCCCTGCTGCCGTGTGTCGTGATAGTTCGTCTGGTACTGTCTCTGGTGGCTGCGCCGTTCCTGTCCGGAAGATCTCCCCAGTGTAGATGCCACACACCTCGAATTTATCCAGCCTCCTCGTCGCCAGTAGGACTAGTTCCCCTTCCGCTACGGGGTGGAGGGTGAGTTGAACAGGGGTTGTGCGCCAAGCCCTCCTGCTCGGCTCCAGCGAGTAGACAAGTGTTACCATCAACAGAGGAGAAGGATATGACCTCAGGGCTGATGTGACCAAGCGCTGGTAGCGTGGTTTAACCTCACACCCATGGTCTCACAGTGTGCCGGCAGTCGCCGAGCAGTGTCGCTCACACAAGCCGCAGCACAAGTGACTGAGGGCCAGTGAGGGCGAGCCCATCGCTGTCACAGCTGTGGCAGCCGCACAGTAGGCTGTGTCAGCTGTGCAGAGTGTGTGAGCAGCAGAGGAGCTGCTCTCCAGGCTTCTGTCGCAAAGAGCTGCATGCCACCGAAAGCGCTGTCGAGGTTCGCCGAGCGCGGCGCAGGTTGGAGGACACCGTCACCGACGAGCGCGTTGGACTTTTCACTCCGGACAAAGACGGGGACACAGCGGACGGTGCGGGGTGTGTCCCCGTCATAGCGGCGAGGCGCGGGACCGTCTGTGGCGAAGTGGGTCGCGTCCTCCGATATTGTTCAACCCAGCATCCACACCCTTTATTTATGCTAGAGGGGCAGACTAGAGTAGTTCGACGGCGTACAGTCTCGCAACAAGTGCCGCCAAGCCGTCTCTCGCGGCCGCGCTCGTACGACGAGCCCCCCCCCCCCCCCCCCCCCCCTTCTCCTCCCCCACCCACCCACCACCACCACACCCACCCACCGCACCCCGACGTTCCTCCCGGCCCAGGAGCGCAGCGGCGACGTACTCGCAGTTACTGCAGCACACACTTGCACACGGCCAAGTGCACATTGATGTCCGGCTGCGACTGCTTGGTAGGCTCATCGTCGTGTGGGGATGGCACGGACGCCGGCGATGGCGCGACTCGTGTCGGAGCATCTGCTGCTGCGGCTCCTTGCATCGATCGCGACAGCTCTGTGGCGGTGGTAGTGGCGGCGGCGGCGGGGCTGGGTGCGGCCCCGGCCGGCACCACGGCGTGTGCCACCTGCTGCTCCCCGCTCGAAGCACCTGCTGCCGCGGCTGCGGCCGGCGAGTACGACATCTTGAGCGCCTGTTGGAGCAGCTCATCGCCCCGCCGCTCCTCCTCACGCCGCTCCGTGTGCTGCTGTGGCGGTTCCTTCATCTGGGTTTGCAACTGCGCTAGCTGCTTCTCATGCGAATCCAGCCTCTGTTGCTGCTGCTTCTGATTCGCTGCTAGCTCAGCTGCCACCGATTCCACGGCCGCCTTAGCAGCCGCCGCCACCTCTGCCACCGCCGCCTCCATCGCCCCTGCTGTCGACACCACGGCGTGTGCCTCCTGCTGCCCCCCGCTCGAAGCACCTGCTGCCGGTGCCGGAGCCGGTGCCGATGGCAGGGTCTCTGTGGCGGTAGGTGCGGCGGCGACGGCGCTAGGTCCAAAGAAGAAACTCCAGGGCCACGTGGCGGTGACAGCGGCGTCGGTGGTGGTGTGGGCGGCGGGGTTGGGTGCGGCGGCGGCGGCAGCGGCGACCGGGCGCAGCTCCTCCGCCTCACGCTGGTACCGTGGGCTGGTCGGTCCCGCAGCCGACGACGACAGCTCGAGCGCCTGCTGGAGGAGCTCATCGCCCCGCCGCTCCTCCTCGCGCCGCTCCTTGGCGCGAGCCTCGATGGCCGCCTTGACGGCGCTCGGGTCGGTCAGCGCCGTCCACACCGCCGTGCCATCCTCGTCCGCGATCCGGCGCAAGCCAGCGTATCCCTTCTTCGCGTCGTGCTCCTCAAAGAAGCGCTGCAGCTCGCGTAGCGACGCGCCCCGCACCGACTCGGACTCTTTCGTGGCGCCGTCCTGGCCGAGGACGCCCTGCACCACGTCGTACTTCTCCACGGAGCTCTCCCGCTTGAGCAGAGCGACCGACTCGCGCGCGCCCGCCGCCCACGCCTCCGGCACCGTCGGGACGGGGTAGCCGAACATGCGCGCCACGCCCGCCGCGCCGTTGAAGACGGACATGGCGCGCAGCCCGACCTGCATCACCGGCAGCAGCTTGGGCACCACGTCCGACGGCGTCGTGATCTCGATCGGGTAGTGGCCGGAGGGATCGCACACGGGCTCGCCCGTGAGCTCGTCGACGAGGTAGAGGTACATCGTCTTGCCCGTCACGAGGTCGCCCAGCCCCTTCTTGATCGTCTCGAAGGCGTCGCCGACCTTGCCGGCCGCCAATTCCGAGCCGATGGTCTTCAGCCGGCAGAGCCACTTCATGCCGGTGTCGAGCGTGTCTGCGTACTTGCCACCCACGCCTGCCGAGTCCCCCGTAAAGTTTAGGGAGAAGTTGTCGTTGCCAAGCGTCACGCCGCTGCCGTCGGCGGCGATCTTCAGCAGCTTCGCCTTCTCCTCCTTGTTGAGCGCCTCCGGCAGCTTCTTGAGCACCACGACGAAGGTAGTGGGTATCGTCACCTCCGACGCCTCGAAGATGCCCTTGAGCAGCACGTCGCACGTGCGCCGCAACTCGCGCTTGTTCTCGATGCTGAGCTCCATGACGACGACGAGCATCTCCGTCTGCTTGCGCTGCTCCTCGCCCTGCCGCGTCTGCTCCTCCTTGATTAGCCGCAGCTCCTCGAGCACCTTCTCTTGCGGCTCAACGTGGCCACCGTCCCTCCCCGTGCGGAAGAAGACATGCTCGAGAGCATCCTTGACCGACAGCCGCGCCGACGGCTCGCGCTGCAGCAGCTTGCTGACGAGGTCACGAGCCGCCGGGTCGCCGACCTTCTCGAGCCGCTCGACCACCACTCCCGGCTGCGTGCCCCACGCGTGCAGCATGCGCATCGCCGCCCCCGAGGCGCAGTCGTCGTCGCGAGTCAACGGCACGAGCGGCTCACCCGCGAGCAGCACAAAGGCTAGCGCGCCGAGCGACCACGCGTCGACCTTCTCCGACGCGTGCACCAGCTCCTCCGAGTACGGCAGGCCGCCAAACACCGGCTTGCCGCCATCCGCCGTGCGGAACGACTTCACGATGTAAATCGACTTGACGACGCCCCGCTCGGAGAACGACTTCGGCGCCACCTTGGCCTGCAGCTCTTTGCTCTCCCGCTGCCAGTACGCCTCGAGCGCCTCAGCCTCGCCCTGCTTGAGCTCGTGGAACAGCTCGGGCGGCAGCACGCCCGAGGAGAACTTGGCGCCGGCGTACGACTCGCCCTCGCCGCCCACTGGCACGATCTTCGCGGCGGCGTCGAGGTCGATGAGGCGCAGCCGGTTGTCGCGCCGGAAGCGGACGACGTTGAGCAGCTTGAGGTCGCCGTGCATCAGGCCCTTCGCGTGCAAGTGCGCCACCGCCTCGAAGACCTGCTGCAGGATGGCGCGGACACCGTTGAGATCGGGCCGCTCCTGCAAGAAGATCTGGTGCAGGTTGCGGTCGGCGGCGTCCATGATGATGGCGCGCGTGCCCAAGCTGATGCCCTCCGGCAGGTACTGTTTAGCGATGGCGCCGAGGCCGCCGCCGCGCACGAGCACCGCCGCCGCGATCTCGTCGTCGGACGGCACGCCGGGAAGCTCCAGCACGATGAAGCGCGAGTCGAGCTGGTTCTTTGCGCGCGCGTCCCGCTCGCGCTCCCACTGCTCCTTCTCCTGCATCAGCTTGATCACGACCGAGCGCTGGCCGTCGCCGAGCTGCTGCTTGCAGATGCCGACGAAGCTCGAGCGGTCGATGCTCTTGTCCTCGGCGCGGAGGAACAGCTCGGCGTCCAAGCCGATGCTCTTCGCGACCGGGGCCAACTCCTTCCGTCCGAGCGTGCCGCTCCCGTCCTTGTCCGCGTCGTCGAAGACCTTGCCGTAGTCGGTCTTCTCGCCGCGGTCGAGCGCGCGCAGCACGACGCTGGTCGCCGAGCGGTGCTCGGGTGCTCCGATGACGAGCTCGTAGCGGCCGCAGAAGAGAAGGTGCAAGTAGATGGCCTTGCGCGGTCCCTCCGTCGAGGCCTCGAGAGCGGTGCGCCCCTGCTTGTCGCGCACCTTGACCAGCTCGTGGATGTGGACGCCGAAGCCGTGCCCTGGCGTAACGTCATCCTTGGAGGCGAGGACCCGGCCGACGGCGGCGATGGCGCTCTCACTGGTGGAGGCGACGGCGTCCGTCCAGCTGCCGGCGTGGTCGACGGGGGCGCCGCCGTCGAGGCGGAGTGGCATGTCCGCGGCCAGCAGCACCGCAACCACCGCCCCCGACGCGCCATACTCGACGGCGCAGTGCAGCGGCAGCTTCCCGTCCCCGTCCTTCTCCTTGGCCGCCTCGGGGTAGGCCTGCTGCAGCGCCGCCACCACCGCCTCCGACGCGCCGCTCCTGACGCAGTGCAGCGGCAGCCTCCCGCTCTTGTCCTTCTCCTTGATCGCCTCGGGGTAGGCCTGCTGCAGCGCCAGCACCACCGCCTCCGACGCGCCACTCCCGACGTAGTGCAGCGGCAGCCACCCGTCCTCGTCCTTCTCCTTGACCGCCTCGGGGTAGGCCTGCTGCAGCGCCAGCACCACCGCCTCCGACGCGCCACTCTCGACGGCGTAGTGCAGCGGCAGATTCCCGCCCCCGTCCTTCTCCTTGGCCGCCTCGGGGTAGGCCTGCTGCAGCGCCGCCACCACCGCCTCCGACGCGCCACTCACGGCGCAGTGCAGCGGCAGCTTCCCGCCCCAGTCCTTCTTCTTGACCGCCTCGGGGTAGGCCTGCTGCAGCGCCGCCACCACCGCCTCCGACGCGCCGCTCGAGACGGCGCAGTGCAGCGGCAGCCTCCCGTCCCCGTCCTTCTCCTTGATCGCCTCGGGGCAGGCCTGCTGCAGCGCCGCCACCACCGCCACCGACGCGCCACTCCCGACGCAGTGCAGCGGCAGCCTCCCGTCCCCGTCCTTCTCCTTGGCCGCCTCGGGGTAGGCCTGCTGCAGCGCCGCCACCACCGCCTCCGACGCGCCGCTCGAGACGGCGCAGTGCAGCGGCAGCCTCCCGCGGTTGTCCTTCTCCTTGGCCGCCTCGGGGTAGGCCTGCTGCAGCGCCGCCACCACCGCCACCGACGCGCCGCTCGAGACGCAGTGCAGCGGCAGCCACCCGTCCTTGTCCTTCTCCTTGACCGCCTCGGGGTAGGCCTGCTGCAGCGCCGCCACCACCGCCTCCGACGCGCCGCTCGAGACGGCGCAGTGCAGCGGCAGCATCCCGCCCCCGTCCTTCTCCTTGGCCGCCTCGGGGTAGGCCTGCTGCAGCGCCGCCACCACCGCCTCCGACGCGCCACTCTCGACGGCGCAGTGCAGCGGCAGCTTCCCGCCCCAGTCCTTCTTCTTGACCGCCTCGGGGTAGGCCTGCTGCAGCGCCAGCACCACCGCCTCCGACGCGCCACTCGAGACGGCGCAGTGCAGCGGCAGCTTCTCGTCCTCGTCCTTCTCCTTGGCCGCCTCGGGGTAGGCCTGCAGCAGCGCCAATATCACCTCGTCGCTCACGGCTGGCTTCAGCTTCAAGTCGCCGTCACTGTCCACGCCCCGGCTCACGACCATCTCGCGGCCCTCGTAGCTCACCTTCGCCCCAGCGTCCTTGGACTCGCCTTCGACCTTGGCCGCCTTTATGTAGCCGGTCTCCTCGGCGTAAAGGGCGCAGTGCAGCGGCAGCTTCTCGTCCCCGCCCTTCTCCTTGGCCGCCTCGGGGTAGGCCCGCAGCAGCGCCGCCACCACCTTCTCAGACGCACCGCTCGCGACGGCGCGATGCAGAGGCAGCATTTCCTCCTCGTCCTTCACCTTGGCCTCTCCTGGGTTCGCAGCGATTGCCGCCAGCAGCTCGGCATCGGCGGCACCGCGCTTCAGCGCGGCGAAGAGATCTGGATTCGGCATGGCCGGCACCGCTATTTTGCACGTCCTCGGATTTTGAGGCGTGACAGCGCCTGGCGAGCTGAATTTCTTTTTTGAGAATGGCTAGCTCAGGATGTGTGGCAGCCGCCCCGTTGGCTGAGTGTCTTGTCTTGTGGTTCTGTGTGTCGCTCCTGTGTGACCGTCATCGCCCGTCCTGCGTCCACCCATATCTTTCTCCGCGTTGGTGTCCCAGTTTGGTCGGAGGTGTATCGCGCGCCTTGCGGGGGGGGCGCGGAAAAGAGGAACCTCTTAGCGCCATCGCCACGGTGCTGCATGCAGCGCCGGGCGACGACGGCTTACCGCCTCCCGGTCCCCCTCGGCACACCTCCGCTGCTCAATGTTTGACGGCTCGAACCCGTGAAGCTTCCCCGTGCGCGGGTTACCCCGCACACGGGTCAGCCTGCCAGCCACGTATCCACGCAAGCGTGGTCCGCGTGCATGGCATACAGGCGTCCGCCAGACAGCGCAGAGGCTAGGCGACCGGGGAAGGACTAGCTCAAGGGCAACACAGCGTCACCAGCCGTTGGCGCGCAGAACGAGTCTGCGGCCCTCGGTTGGGACGAGTGCGCGACGCGGTTGAACCGCTCAATATGGCCGGCAGCTCGCGCTGCCGGCGGGGTTGGTTGGGGAGAACCGGCACGGGGAGGGCCGGCCTCCCCGGAGGGGTCGCCCCCTGGAGGGGCCCCAAAGGGCCCCCCGGGGGGGCGGGGGCCCCCGCCCCGAGGGGCGGGGGCGGGTCCTTCCGTGTCGCTCCCCTCGTCGGGAGTGTCCGTCGGGATGGTGTTGTCCGCCCACTCGGCAGCGTTTGAGCCTCTGTCACCTTGCCTGCCGCGAGCAGCTAGCTCGTCGACGTTGTCGTTCCATTTGTTGCCGCTGTGACCCGCCACATGCCTCCACGTCACGGTGTGTTTGGCGCGAAGGCGTCGCCAGAGGGAACGAAGGCGCTCCGCTAGCTGTCTGTTCGTTTTGGGGGTCACCGATCGGACTGTGTTTCGCCTTCCCATCAACCGGGGGCTCAATATGGCCGGCAGCTCGCGCTGCCGGCGGGGTTGGTTGGCAGGGGAGAACCGGCACGGGGAACAAGGGGCCAGCCTTTCCGGAGGGGTGTCGCCCCCTGGAGGGGCCCCAAAGGGCCCCCCGGGGGGGCGGGGGCCCCCGCCCCGAGGGCGGGGGCAGGTTCGTCGCCTAGCGCGATGGAGTCAACCCTTGTTGCCAAGTCGGCGAGCGTGTTGTGTATCGAGAGAGAGAGAGACCATAGCAGATGCGAGAGCGGCGTCGTCCGGGGAGAGGGGTAGTGGGGGAGGGTCAACATCGAGGGCAATTACGCATCGCGCTCCCCGATCGTCTCCGATCTCCCTCGCCTGCTCGCTCGGCACGTACTCGGACCATGTGTCCATATCGTTCGAACTCGGGGGGCACGGCGAGGGTTAGCGACGGGTGCGGCTTCAGGGTCGGTGGCGGGCGAGGGGTGGCTGACGGGGCTGGCTGGGGCTGTAGCCGTTGGTGTAGCAGGCCCACAGCGGTCGGCGTCGCGCTATCTTTCTCTGGTAAATTTAAAAGTGAGCCGATTTTGAGAGATCTCGACGAGTTCGGGATTAACTCATACCATGGTAAAAGTGTTGCGTAACACGGCTAAGTTTCCAACGGCTGCACGCGTGAGTGCACACGCTGGGCGACCCGACTGTGGTGCGCAGTGATCATCATCCGCCGCGCAAATGACACGAGTTAGACGGCTCCTCTCCCTCTAGATCTACCTGAGCTCCTCGTCCCCGGGGCAAGGAACTTTTGGTGCGATTCGTGATCCATCGTGTCGCGCATAAAGGGGTCCTGCAGGAGAGCCGTCCTGTTGAGCGTCCCGATGGCTAGCTGAATCGCTTGCCACGTGCCAAAGCACACGCGATTGTGCTGAGCTTGGCTGCCACCGCATCGTCGTCTGACTCGACCACAGCACGCCAACGGCCCTTGGCTCGTGTGTGCAGCAGGGCAGGCGCCAGCCATGGCGGCAAACCGCCCAGAGAATGGAGACGCATGGTCGGGAGGCACCGCTGGGCTGGAGTCCACCATAGAGCCCCAGAGCAGAGCGTCCGGTAGGTAGGACTGGTCCCTGCAGGCCCCGTCACCGACGTCAGCTAAGCCCGGAGCGACCAGTAGCCCTGAGCGCAAGATGAAGCGTCCAAGTCCCACGTGCCAGTGCTGAAAACGGATGTCAGAGGTCACGTTGAGCGCGTCGTGCACGTGGATGCTCCAGACCTGGTGGCTCCACAAGTATTTGCCGGCCTGCAGGGCGGACAGACAAAGGTCGGGGCCGGAGTTGAGTTCGTGGGTGCACGGACTACAGGGCCTTGCACCCACCACAGAAGCCTAAGGCGTGAATGCATCGGAGACAGTAAATCTAGGATCGATGGCCATCGGATTGAGGGTGGAGATGCGCAACGCCCGGGCGCGGTCGACATACCAATCCCAATTGCGCGCGATGCGGCCCCATGTCAGCGCTGTTCTGACGGACGCGACGAACCAAAAGTCGGAGAGGTGATAGGCCGTCTCGACGGCTGGGTCTCGTTGTCTGTTGGCACGCCAGTGGTGGTCGATACGGCATGCGTCGATCACTCGCTTTCTGGGGCCGCCTTCTATTTCACTCACACCGTGCCCGCATCGGCTATGCACGAGCTGCCGCCGAGCGGGCGTGTCCGCGGCGCTCGCACAACAGCCACGCGCAAACCACACCGTATCTGGTGAGGGCGTGCTGAGACCGCCCAGCATGAGCGGCTCGAATGCGGCGACATCAAGCCGCAATGTGAGCGCCAGGTCGAACCTGTGCTGGTGAGCGACTTCGTAGGCGCGAGCGAGCTGGGCAGCCCGGCCAATAGACAAGGCGTGCGATGCCGCTTTGGTCAGGTTGGAGATTGCGTCGTGGCGAGAGCCTCTTAGGTGCGCAGAGTAGAGGCCATCAATCACGTTCGCCTCCTCTGGATTCCAGCTGTGGACAAAAACGGCAACGCCACCTGCCGCCAGATTCGCATGAATGATGGCAGAGTGATGAGTCGCCGCACACAGCTCGATAAGAGAGATGCTCGGAGGGACGCGCTTCCTCAGCGCCCTGGATGCTGGCATCGACACCGGGCCGAGCCGTCCATGTAGGAGCAGTGCGAAGCGCGGCGGCCGCTCGTGGCGCTCGTACAGCCAATGCTGGCCGCGGTCCATGTCGAGAAGAGGAAAGTAGAGAAGGGAAGAACAGTCTGACTGACGACTGGACACCAGGCGGACGCTGGATCCCCTCGATCACAGACGGGGCACAAACCGCAACAGGTATCACTCGGCGGGTGTAGACGGCCGTCCTCGTCCCATATGAATGATCAAGGGGGAGACGAGATGGGATTTATCCCTCTCCTTAAAAACCCTTTTTGGCGGCGTGCCGTCCTCCCATCCCTCCCTGGGGGTGGTGTTTCTTTCTTTCTGAGATGGGATTTAGGGACATATGCATGCACATGCACATAAGTAAGATAAAGTAATGAACTTCGAGAGATACATACACACATACATACATAGGAAGTTAATAAGGTAAGGTAAAAGGTAAGGTAAGGTAAACACGAGAGATGTCAGCAGATCGATGTATCCCCTCACGCACAGCGTCACCGCGTCCCAGCGCAAAATCCACCCTCGAGCGTGCGGCTTTAACCCCCCCCCCTTGCGGCTTTATTTTTTCTTTGCACTTTGGACGCGTCCCAATCCTGTCCAAACCCTGCACACTCCTTTTGGTAAGCCTTTTCTTACAGTCACCTCTTTGCACTAGAGAACTCGTGTCGCGAGTGCACACAGACAGGCGCACGCCCGCTCATGGCCACCTCAGACCGCGCCGCGTTTCCTGCCACCGGCGGCAGGTCCTCCACTCACACGCAGCTCGGCCGCTGCGGCAGGCAGAGGTTGTACAGCTCGCCCTGCTGGAAGAGCTTGGTGCCGAGGTGCGTCGTCGAGTCCTGCGACTTCCACCCGACCCACTTTGGCCGGATCTGCGAGAGCTCGTCCGGGCCGACGTAGTGCGGGTCCTAAGGTGAGGTGAGGTCAGGTAAACTTCTCCACACGCACGAGTGTGGTGGGGCCAGGCTAGTCCCTCGCGTCTCCACGTCTAGACGACAGGAGGCCCACGGGACTAAATGTGCAAGGCCCGGTGCGCGTGGGTGAGCGGTGATGTGTTTGTGTGTGTGTGTGTGTGGGTCCTTCGCGGTGAATACGCCGACTGTATTCCTATCAGAGCACCGCGTGAAGACAACGGATAGAGGAATACAGTGAAGACAGTGGAATACAGCGGACGACAGCGGGATGCATGTCTCTCGAGTGCCGGTTGGGAGACACGGGCACGTATCCCCCTTCTAGGGTGCGCGACCATGATCAGGAAGCGCGCCTCGCCCGTCCTCTCGTTGAAGTCGACGCCGAGCAGGGTGAAGGCGAGCTCGCCTAGGTAGTTCGCCAACCAGTGAGTCAAACCTCTCATTGAAGTCGACGCCGCGGAGGGTGAAGGCGGAGCTCGCCGCCGCCAATCATCACCGGCGTGCCCTGCGACTCGAAGTGGTGCGCCTGCTCACAGCTTGCAGCCGTGAAGAGGCGCCGTTCACACCCGGCACGCTTCGGACTCGACGCGGCGCGCCAGCTGCCGCGCGTTCGCGGCGATGTCGTGCCTGCTCGAAGCAATCTCGGGGTCACCTCGCGGGCAATCTCGGGCAATCTCGGGTCATCGCGGCGACGTCGTGTGCCCCGACGCGCAGCTGAGGAAGCGGCACTGCACGCCGAGGGCGTGCTCGAGGTAAAAGCCGAGGTCCTGCGGGTGGGTTCGGGTACCATAGGGGTAGGGGAAGGTGGCTTCGGGTACTATGGGGGTAGGGGAGGATGGCTTCGGGTACCGTGGGGGTGGTGGAGGGTGGCTTCGGGTACCAGAGGGGTAGGGTAGAGGAGGATGGGTTCGGGTACCGTGGGGGTAGGGGAGGGTGGGTCCGGGTACCGTGGGGGGTAGGGGAGGGGCGCCGATGGCCTGCGATCCGAGCCACGTTTTTTTCCCCAGCAGCCCGTCCGCCTCCTGGCCGCAGTGGTCGACCAGCGTCTTTTGGATCTGGTAGTGGCTTGGGTTGGGGTGCGACGTGTAGCGCTGCAGCCGGAACCAGCTGATGATAGACTGCAGCGATCGGTACGCGCACCCCCAGCCGTTGTCGTCATACTTGTCGGTGCGGCCGGTGCCGGTGGGCTGGAGGTAGTGGTAGTACTCGTACTCGCCTGGTAAAAGACACATCGGGGCGGCGTGTATTTCTTTTTGGGCTGGGATGTATCTCGGCTACACCTCGGCTACACCTCGGCTGCATCTCGGCTACATCTCGCCTTGCACGAGCGAGACAACGCCGCCAGCCAGACCCGACGGCGCCAACCCCTCGTGTGGGCTCCTGAGCAAATACGCCGGCGCGCCGCCTCCGCCGCCGCCGCCGAGCGCGTTGCAAGTGCGCAACAGCGGCCGGTCGAGCGGCAGGCCTAGCTGGGAGAGGAGGCGCTCTATCTCCACTCTATCTCCACTCGATCTCCCCTCTATCTCCCCTCTATCTGGCAAGCCTAGCTGGGCGTGGAGGCGCTCTATCTTCACTCTATCTCCACTCGATCTCCCCTCTATCTCCCCTCTATCTGGCAGGCCTAGCTGGGCGTGGAGGCGCTCTATCTCCACTCTATCTCCACTCGATCTCCCCTCTATCTGGCAGGCCTAGCTGGGCGTGGAGGCGCTCTATCTCCCCTCTATCTCCACTCGATCTCCCCTCTATCTCCCCTCTATCTGGCAGGCCTAGCTGGGCGTGGAGGCGCTCGCGCAGCGGCCGCGCCGACGGCTCGCTTGCCTGCGAGAAAGAGGGGAGCTGGAGGGGAGATAGAGGGGAGATGGAGGGGAGATAGAGGGGAGATAGAGAGTGGAGATAGAGCGGAGATAGAGCGGAGATAGAGTGGAGATGCACCTCGGCTACTCTCGGCGACTCTCGGCAAATCTCAGCGACTCTCGGCGAAACCAAATCGTCTCAGCGACTCTCGGCGACTCTCACCTCTTCCCCAACGGCGAGGGCGTACTCGAGGCAGACCGGCACCGCGAGGCCCTCCGGCAGCACCTGTTCACACCGCCTCGCTGTGAACGGAAACGGCGCCCTTGACCTCCCGCGGCCGCCGCGAGGCCCTCCGGTAGCACCGCGCATGCGACAGGCGCCACACCGGCCTTCAGCAGCCCGCCCAGCGACGCCGCCTGCTCCGCCAGCGCACGCTGCAGCGCGGCGGCGGCGGCGCCGAGCGACCCGTCCCGCCGCGACTGCACGACAACGTCAAGCTTGAGCCGGTGCGCGCCGCCGCCGCCGCCGCCGCCGCCGCCGCCGCCGCCGCCGTCGCCCGCAGCCTCGGCGGCGGGCGGAGCGAGGAAGAGGCACACGGCCTGTTCAGAGCTGCGAGGTGTGAAGAGACGCCGTTCACAGCCGAGGCGCCGAGACAAGAAGAGACACTTCACGGACTTCAGATAGAGTGGAGATAGAGTGGAGATCGAGTGGAGATCGAGTGGAGATAGAGTGGAGATCGAGTGGAGATCGAGTAGAGTGGAGCTAGAGTTTCACGGCCTGCGACGCAGCATCGCCCGCCGCGGCGCTCTCCTCCCACAGCACTGCAGCCTACGTGCTGAATACGCCGACATGAGGGCGGGAGGTACGGTATCGTGCAGAGCATTCAGAGCACCGCGTGACTACGAGGGGTGCGCAGACAGTGCATACGGCGGGACCCGGCTGAGTACAGTTGAATGCGTGTCCTCTTGAGCGCTGGTTGGAAGACAAGATCACGTCTTCCGCCTCTAGGGCTCCGAGCTGCCAGATATGGGGGAGATACGGGGGAGATACGGGGGAGATATGGGGAGATCTTCCGCCTCTAGGCACTACCGCCTCGAACAGTTGACCGTCGAACAGTTGGCGGGCGGCAGCGACACCGTCTCCAGCCTGTGCGGCCTCCCGCCCGCCGCCTCCTCCTCCGCCTCCGCCGCCGCCTCCTCCGCCTCCGCCGCCTCCGCCTCCGCCTCCTCCGCCGCTCTTCTTCCCTTTGCCGCCCTTCTTGCCGCCCTTCTTGCCCCCCTTCTTCCCTCCTCGCGCCTCCGCCTCCGCCTCCTCCTCCTCCTCGTCGCCGTCGCCGTCGCCGCCAGGAGCAGCCACGCCCCACGGCTCGACGAGCGCAGCGCAGGTCCGGCCCGCCTCCTATCATGTATCGAGCACGAGCATTGCGGCGTTCGACTGCCACTCATGAGAACAGCGCAGCGCCTGCCCGCCTCCTGCCCGGGCGCCACCACGCCCACCTGCGGCGCGTCCGTGAACGCAAAGTGGAGCCGCCTGCGCGCTCACCATGAGTAGTCTCGGGTCCTCTCGTGCTCACCATGAGTGCTCTCGGGTACTCTCGGGTACTCTCGGGTACTCTCGGGTACTCTCGGGTACTCTCGGGTACTCTCGGGTACTCTCGGGTCCTCTCGGGTCCTCTCGGGTCCTCTCGGGTCCTCTCGGGTCCTCTCGGGTCCTCTCGGGTACTCTCGGGTACTCTCGGTCAATCTCGGGTCATCTCGGGTCATCTCCACTGAGGAGCCGCCTGGAGCGCAGCTCCTCGACGAGCGAGGCGACGCCGGCCGGCGGTGGCGCCGAAAGCGAGACGGCGAGGCGCGCGCGGAGGGACAGGTGGGTCGCAGCGAACCGCGCACGCCGCTCCGCCTCGGGCGCCACCGTCGCGGCAGCGAACGAGCCGCCTCGGAAGAAGGCGGCGGCGCCGCCGCCGCAGGTGGCGGCGCAGAGGAGGCTCCCGGAGCGCTCGGCGTCGGCGAGGGCCGGCAGCCGGGGCGCGCACGCGCCGAGCAGCTTCGCCAGCCGCGCGGCCGCCTCGGGCGGCGCGCAGTCCGAGTAGACACCAAGCGGCGTCAGGCCTCGCGGCCAGAGCGATGTGCCGAGCGCCGACGCGTCGCCGCAGGCCCAGTCCGGAAGGCCGTCGTCCGTGGTGGCGGCGCAGCCGACACCGAGGAGCGGCACGGGCTCGCCGGCCTCGTCGAGGAAGCCGAGGAGCCAGCCGCACGGGCCGGGCAGCGGCAAACCAAGCTCGCCGGCTGCCATGCCCGCGGATTTCTTTGGGCGTATTCTTTCTTTTTTCGGTGCGAGCGCAGTTCACTAAATGCTAAAAAAGAAAAACGCCGGCCTCCAGTGCCATCCCTGTGTGGTGGCGGCGTGCCGTCCTCCCATCCCTCCCTTGGGCGTTAGCTATTGTTGGCAACCCATGGGCGGTCTGTTCCATTCTTTCTTTCTTTATCATGCTAAAAAGAAAAACTGGCCCTCCAGTTCCATGCTCGCCTCGCCCCCGGGCAGAACGCCGGCAACGAGGCCGCGGGCGGCGCTCTTCAGCTCCGCCACTGAGGGCGGCGCGGCTCCACTCGCCACGCCGCGCTCCGCCTCGGCCGCGGCTGACCGGCCACTCTTCGCGCTCTCGCTGCCCGACTTTGACGGAGGAGGCGGCGGCTTCGGCACGGCGCCGGGTGCGGTGCCGGACCGCTTCTCGCAGGCGGGTGCCGCCCTGGTCACGCGCGGCGCCGTCTCCGACCCCGTCGCCGCCGACGCTCCCGCCGACGTGGCGCTCTCGCAGCGGTTTGCGCTCGCGCTCGAGGAGTGGTGGGTGGCGCAGAGGGCGCCGCCGCCGGTGGCGGGGTACCTGCCGCTGCTCGAGGCGTACGAGGCGCTCGCCTCCGCCGCCCTCGACGACACCGAGCGCAAGCTTCGCGCCCCGGACGGAGGCGGCGGCTCACGGCCGGCGCTGGAGGCGGAGGCGGCGGCGCTGCGCGCAGAGAGGCAGAGCTGGCGGCTGCTCCTCCGTCTGTATGCGGGCTTCGACGGGCGACAGGCGGCGCCGCCCCCCTTCCCGCCCCCGCCCGACGACTGGGGCGCCATGCTCCGCGCACTCGGACCAGCCGCCGCCGGCGGCGGCGGCGGCGGCGGCGGCGGAGGCGGGGCAGAGGCGCTCGCGGCGACGGCGGCGGCGGCGGGGCTGCCGACGAAGAGCTTGCATGACGAGGAGGTGCAGGAGGCGGCGCTGCGGCAGGCGGACCCCGTCGCCGACCTGGCGCTGCGGGCGGTGCGGTGGGCGGAGGACGGCGCGAGGGAGAAGCCGCGCCCGCTGCCGCTGCCGGTCACGCATCGGTCGACCGCCTTCCGCCTCGCAGTGGGCGAGGCGGCGGCGCACGGCCTTCCCACGTCCCTCGACCCTGACGCGCCGGCGCGCGAGGGGAGGAGGCTCGACGCCGAGGACGAGGAGGAGGAGGCGGCGCTGCTGCGGACGGTGTGGCTGATGGTGCGGTGCGGGCGCGTCGCGGAGGCGCGACAGCTGTGCCGGCAGTGCGGCCAGCCGTGGAGGAAAAAGAAATCGAGGCGGCGCCTTACTTCCTTTTTAGGCCCAGCAGCTGTGCCGGCAGTGCGGCCAGCCGTGGCGCGCGGCGACGCTGGGGGGCGGCGAGCCGTGGCGGTACGACTCCGCAGCTGGCGGGTGGGTTGGCAACCCGGACCGGCCGCTATGGCGCAGTGCGTGCGGCGCCATAGCGCGGCGGGCGCTGCAGCGGCCCGAGGTGCCGGCGTCGGCGCACGAGGCGGCGGCTTACGCGTCGCTCGCGTCGGACGCGTCGCTGCTGCACGCAGTCCTGCCGGTCTGCGGCGGGTGGGAGGATGAGGTCTGGGCGCGCCTCAAGCCGTCTGTCGGCAAACACATCGCCGAGCAGCAGAGGCGCCTCTCCGAGATGTCGCCGAGATGTCGCCGAGATGTCGCCGAGATGTCGCCGAGATCTAGCCGAGATCTCGCCGAGATCTCGCCGAGATCTCGCCGAGATCCAGCCGAGATACAGTCGAGATCTCGCCGAGATCCCGCCCATGGCCCACCGCAGGCGCCTCTCCGACGGCCAGCCGCTTCGCCACGAGCATGCGCTGCCGCT